GTTTTCAAAGAACTTCACTGCCATATCTGTCAAGTTCTTGCCTAGTAGATCCCAAAACTTCTGAAAGAATATGGCCTGAAACCCATCTGGACCATGAGCGGAGAGAGGTTTTATCTCAAAAATTGCCCTATGAATATCTGTGATGTGTATGGGACGGAGAAGAGCCAAAAGATCCTCTTGAGTGATTCTCGGGAACTGACCTCTAGGCATAAGATCTAAATAGACAGAATCATCTTGAGTATATAATTCCTTGTAGAAGTTAAAGACCATATAACTCAGGATGTTAGGGTCAGTAATCCACTCATCATTGCTGTTTTTTAGGGTTAAAATCTTGTTCCTGCGTCGACGTCGAGTTGCTTGTTGATGGAAGAAAGAGGTATTATGTTACCCTAGCTTCACCCATTTTTCTTTAGCTCTTTGGAACCAGATAACTTCTTCTTGAGCTAGCAGAGTATCAAAGTCCTGTTCCAACTTCACTTGCAGTTTGAGCAGACCCAGATTGAAGGATGTAGCTAGTCTTTCTGTGATACCCTGCAACCTGCTAGGAGACTTCTTTTCTTCTTATGCAAGGATCCAAACACTTCCATGCTCCAGCCTTGTAGTTTTGAGTGATGTCTCTGAGAGCTTGAGGCAACTCATCTTCCTTTCTCCAATTGTCAGTGAAGAATTCCTTAAATTGGTTGTGGAGTAGCCAAGCCGCCTCGAACTTGAAATGTCTCATCGGATTACTAGCATTGATTGCACTCAAACTGGACGTAAGAACCGGAATATGGTCTGAATGCAGCTTCGATAGGTGTTGTACTACTGTATCTGGAAAGTAGTATTCCACATTTCATTGCATAAAGACTCGTCTAGTATGTTGGCTTTCCGCGTTTGAGATGAAACTCCGCTGAACCAAGTGAATTTTGCCCCGGAATAACCCAGGTCTGTGAGCTGAGCTTCATTTATGCAATTGGAAAAACGCTGACAACGTCGAAGATAACTAACTGAGCCGGGATTGGATGACTCATTTGGGAGGCAGTAGGCATTAAAGTCAAATGTGATAAGCCAAGGGAGGTTGCAGTTCCGACTCAAGTTCACTAGATGATCCCACAGGATAAAATGAAACTTATATTGGGGACTGGCATAAATACTCGTGAGCAACCAATCCTGTTGATTAGTCATTGAGACTTTCACTGTAAGGTGTTGTTTGCTTGCATCCACCAAGATTACCGAGGAATTGCACGATTTCCAGGCCACTCAAATACCTCCTGCTCTCCCATCCGCATCAACCCTGAGAACATAATCATATCCCATCTTACTGCAGACAACATCCGCCTGATTTCCACTGATTTGTGGCTCAAGAATAAACAACAAATCAGGGTTGTGAGTACCTGCCAATAGCCTAATGGCCCGGATAAACTTCCTACCTCCTGCACCACAAATATTCCAAGACAAAATTTTGAAGTTAGTTTGATTAACCATGATAAAAAATGATGAAAGGGAAAAACGAAAAGGGAAAGAACAAGTCATCAATTCGATGGTTAAAGATCCGTCAGTGGAAGGGCCGGAATCATGGCCTGAGTCGTCCTCTCTAGAAGATTCAAAGCATTTGTTTCCTCCATCGCTACATCGCTGCCTCCCGAAGTAGCTTTCTTCAAAAATTCTGCCGCCTTGAGTTGAGACTGTGCAAAGAACACAGTCACCGCTTCTGCAGATTTAGGGAAAGCGGGATGTTTTGCTCCTTGAACCAAGCCTTTCTTCACAGGGCTATGAATTTGAAGAGCTTTCTTAGCCGCTTTCAGAGGAATCCCTTGTTGACTCAGGGAGGCCGTTGTAGTCTTCTTTGTGTAATGTTGGCGAACTGAAGAGTCATCCCGATTGGGGTTCTGGTTCTTTTTGTGCTTAAGAGTGAGCTCTGAAACAGAAATTATCTAAATAGAAGTATTATTTTGGCCAAGAATCGTTCAAACTTGTGTTGGGTGAGATTGAGGCTTAGTCGAGAGGTCCGCTGCAGAAGTGGAAGAACTGGCCCCAGGGATTGATGGGCTGCCTAACGCCTTTTCATTTATGCCCACCGGTCTCCATTCCTGAATCATGTGGGCTTTGTTTGGCCCATTAGATCATTTCTCTTCCACTGGTGCCTTTCCTTTTTGAGCGACTGAATTTCCTTTCTTGTTCCCACCTCTATTCTCTGACTTTCCTTTGTTTCCGACGGTGATTCAGCCAAACCTTTCGAATGTACTCCATTCTTGGCTGATTCCTGTCGGGTGACCGTTGCCTTCCCTTGAGTCTGAGCATGATTTCCGGATCCCTTCATGTTTGGACCGCGTGATTTTCGAGTCATCTGCATCCATGGCCCGTAGCCGGATGGTGGTTCCGGCGACTCTGTTTCCGGCAGCAAATTTTGCTCATTGCCCTGAAACGTGATCAATTCCATGGACTGAGAGGGCTTCTTAGCTGGATATTCTTCTTCCTTGTGACCTATCCTCCCACACTCGTAGCATATGGTCGATAAATTCTCATAGAGTACTTGATGCCAAGCCCCGTCAGGCCGGATGCGAGTAGGTAGAGGTGTGGACATGTCCAATTCCACCGCCAATCTGGCAAACTTCCCTCGACCTAGCATCTCTGTATGATAATCTAACTTAACTGTCCTGCCAATCAGATTTCCTACAGCAAAAAGCACTTCCCTGTGATAGAAGTGTACCGGCAGCTCAGGCAATTGGATCCAAGCAACAACTGATCAGTGGGGTTTATCAGAGGTACGAAAGGAAGCAGACCACGGGTGGACAACTAAGTAATGGTCCTCCCGTTAAAGCCCTGAGATAATCTTGATCATTGATATGATCACAAATTATCAACTATATACGCTTAAATTACTTGACGAAGAAGCTGTCGAAGTTGAGAAGAAGGGCAGAATTTGGCTAAGTCGAAATCCGAGTTCATGGTACTTACTTTGGAAGTCTGTATCTCACAAATGGCTCAATGAAAATTGGATTTCGAGGGCTTGTATTGAAGATAAAGTTGCCATCTTTCCAGTGGTATGCTATTTGGATCCAGATGATGTCATTAAGGTTATTTTCCAAGGCCTCAAATTTGCTACCTCAAAACTGGAAAACTGCCAGGAAATTGTTAAGTATGAATCTGTGATCGTGAAGCCTACTTTGGAGCTCAATTCAAGGAGAATGGATCTGATTCGATACCAAAGGCTTATACAAAATGAAAGTAGGAATGTTTATCTACAAAGGGAAGGAATAGGATGAAAGATCGGAGTTCTGGAAGGCCTCGAACGAAAGGCGTGAAGTTAGTACAAAAGCTGCTTTTTGACTGTTTGTTGGCAGCTTACTTGTGCTTCAAGAAAGGAAGTTTAAACCCGAAATTTGAGTCCTTTTAGAGTAGATTTTTACCTTAATTGTTTCCTTGTTAGTTTAGAATAATATTAGGTTTTCTTTGGCAATAAAAGCCCTCTAGTTTTCGTTGTAATAGTTAGAGTTGATTAATCGAAAAGGAACCGTTTGGTTTGTGCAAGTTGCGACTTGTTTTTGGTTTGGTGGATTCCAAACTTGCTGAGCTTGTGTATCGATTGAATAGTCACTTCAGTCGTGGTCGAGCAACTACCCTTTAATCCAATCGAGCGTTCCCCCCGGTGTGGAATCGTCCTTTTGATTCCGTTTTATCCAATTTCGTATTAAGAACGCTTCGTTCTTGATTTGAGCTCAATCAATTCTTCGATTGAGTCATTTGCTACGTTACTTTGATAACATACACCCCAGGATCGTATTAATCATCTCCTAGAGTAACCAGAAAAGTGCTATCATTCAAATCCATGATCTCCATCGAACCCACCGGTCGCCATTTCCACCGAAGTTGAGAGCAGAGGTAGTTGTAGGACACTGTTTTGCCCAGCAGCCTCACCACCAAGGTTTTTGTCCATGGCTGTCACAACCGCTCCTTGAGTCCCGACGAAACCTTCAATTCCGGCTCGCCCTGGTAGGAGCTGACTTCCAGATCTTGAGATCCAATAAAGGTCCATTGAGGGTTACTAACAGGGCTGGCCGGCGGGATCCCGGTAAGGGTCATTCTGAAATTTAGTTGGGACGTAGAGGGAGGATGGCTGAGGGGTCCCGACACCGTAGTTAGGATTGGATCTTGGGATTGGGGGTCCGGCGGCCGCCCTCTGAGAGTCGGTGAAGTCTCCGGAGGGGCATCACGCGGAGCAGTGACCGAGACATCATATTCTCTGCGCGTCCAACGTCGCGTATCTTGTTAATAAGTTAGAGCCAACGTTTGAGACTATTGCCAATCTATGATTTTGCTAAGGGGTCGTTTGGAAGTTGCGATTGTTTTGTTGAGATTGTCATTATGCATGTATTGTTTACAATGCATCGTTTTTTTGTTTTTTTTAGCAGAAACAATACATGGATTGTTTCTGTGATGTGACAGAAACTATCACTCATTTTGAGTGATTGTTATATCTCAACTTTTAGTTGTGATTGTTGAGATAGTTGAGTTGAGATTGTTTTGTCTCAGCTTTTAGCTGATGCGACATACACAATCACACATACCAAACGTTGTATTCTACAATGCATCAAATTCGACAATATATGTATAATATTATACATGCATTCTCAACAATACATCTATTTAACAATCGCAACTTCCAAACGACAGAGATTTCGTACTATGATTTGGAATTATTTATGATATTTCCGTTATTCTTTCACTTGAATTATTTATAATTATCCAAGGGTCTTTAGGTAAATTATAGCGACCGGCCGGTATAGGGTAAGTGGTATGCTTGACGAATGACGATTAGAGAGTTGAGATACTTGAGGCTTCGTGCAGACAAATTTGTGTAGTGGATGAGTTGGTGACCCGGCGGGAAAGAGATATACAGACGGCGATTGCCAGCTTACTGTCACCGAACGCTACCGTAAACCGCCGCTGCTGTATGCTCTTCCGTAGAACTCTGGTCGTGATTTCGAAGGATTAGATCGCAGGAATAGGGTTTCCGTGGAATGGCGCCCCTAAAATGTCACGTTTGTAGAGAATCAAAGTCCAAATACAAGTGCCCTAACTGCGTCGCGCCATAGTAAGCTGCAACCTGAACTAGAAACCCCTTTCTTTCTCTTACTTTTGTTATTCGTCCTCTTTTCTCAACCTCATTCAACTTCCGTTTTGCTTGCAGTTGCTCTCTGGGCTGCTTCAAGAAACACAAAGGTTCCGCCTTTTTCTTTATTTTCCCTCGTCTCTCTGTGTGTCAATTCTTTGGTTCTGTATACCGATTGAACGGCAGGGCAGTTGTTGTACCAATTGACTGTGTCATCTGAATGTCGATTAAAGCAGAAATACCTTGTTCAAAGCCGGCAGCGGAGGGTCCTTTTGCTAAGCCTGCATCCGCCCAGAACGAGACACCAGGTGAGGATCCATTTCTCTCATACTACCTTTCTCGGCTGAGTAGCTTAGCTAGCCGCTGTACAACAGCAACATTGTGTCAGGGAAATGGATGATGGGAAGGGCAACTGGACAAATGAACATCTAGTCCGACTTAAAGGAGGAGATCCTTAAAAGGGTCTTATCTTGCCTCTACCATTAGCTACACCTCTTTGGTGTAAGATATAGCATGTTCTATACTTAATATCTGTTATTTTTCTGGTCCATATCTTCTTAATCTGTCCATAGCATGTTAAAGCACGTAATTTTGATTGTAGCAATAAGCTATTGATTTAATTTGAAATACGCTCATGCTGGAACGGGACTTATTTGGATATGTTTACAGTGAATGGTTCCATATGGTTGTGGTTAAGGTGTTACTCGAGGAATTTTTTTATGAAATTTGTCCTGATTTGAACTTTTCATCTTGAAGTTCCTGCTGGTGAAGTGCAATGGCATGCAGAGCGTCCGTTAACTATTGATGATCCTACCATGGTGCTACAGACGTCTCAGCTGGAGTCTCTAGGTACGCTTTGGGTGTTTGTACCTTCCCGAAAGGATTGTTATTAGATAATAATCTGGTCAGTTGAACAGCCATCACTGTTGTTGAACTCTATTGTTCTTCTGAGGTTTCTGACTTTAATCATACATATGCATCAGCTCCCAACTTTTAGTTGGCTAATGGTAGTGTGAGGATTTAAACATTCATAATACTCTAGGCTGTAACCTTGGGCCAACAACATTTCCTGCCTAAAAGGACAACCCGAATTATATGAACTCTCTTATATAGCGATACAGAATCACGAAAGGGCTAACATGTAGTTATTGTGCTTGTACTGTATGCTTCTTTTGGTAAGTAGATATTTCACACTGCGTTGAACCTTATTGTGTAATTTCTTCGATGTCTTTATTTGGGTTTACTGATTTTGATTACTAGTACCATAAATTTTAACTCCTGGAAGCATGAGCGGCTACCAGCTTGGTAATAATTGAATATAGTTCCTTTGAATCAGCTTTTTCGAGTGAAATCTGTGATGCTTTGAAGGATGACAACTTGCAGAAGCTGATCCTTAGCGTTGACTCTTCCCCAGATCCAGAAAGCGTACGCATTGTTTCTTCTTTCTCTTATTATTTGGGGAATAACATGAAGAAACCCTGCTGAAACATACCCTTAAACCCCCTTTCCAGGAACTTGCGAAAGCCATGGAGACGGATGCATTTCGAATCTTTGCTGATAAGGTATTCTCGATTTACCCTTATGTAATTTTACCACCTGGGACTCAATCTGACTATACAAATTAGGGGTGGCTATACGGTCCGGTTAAATTGGACCAAATTGATCCGGTCCCAGTCCGGTTTTTTCGGGAATATAAGGACCAAAGATTGGATTGGATACAGTCCGGTCTTGATCCGGTCTGGTCTTGACTCGGTCCGGTCCCAATTTGATCTTGATTTTAGGTGTTGGGGGTCTCTTATCCGGTCTTTATCCGGGTTTTTACCTCAAATCTAAGCCCGAATATGAGATTGGATTGTTTGTTATCCGGTCCCAGTCCGGTTTCGGTTCGGATTATACGATCCGGTTTCGGGTAAAACCAAACAATCCGGACCAAATAACCAGCCCTAATACAAATTCATAGTTGCCGTGTGCTTAAAGTGTTCCATTTTTAGATTTTGTCCATCATAGGTCCATTGCCGTGATCACTTGTGAACCTCCGTTCAACTAGATTGGAAGCCTGAATTGAGACAACATGCTCCCCAGTGGAGTTATGATGGACGAGCAGAAATACAGTCGGCTGTGCAGCAGAAGATGGACCATCTTAACTTTGATGGCTTAGCTACATCTCCCTGGCTCACGAATAATATCCAACGGGATTTTATGGCATATTGTTTTCCCAATGTGTTCTACCATCTAAATATATGTAATTGTCATTTGCACATCTTGTCAATTCATCATCTAAATATATGTAATTGTCGTTAAAAATGTTTCACTGTAGTAAAGTCACCTGTTCACATCTTGCCTTAGCATAGGCGTAGCAAATTTGCAAGGTTGCAATCGTTTATTTGGGGTTAAATCGTCAATTATTAGCAATAAGCTGATTAAATTTTTTCTAGGTCGTTGATTGTGTAATTTCTGATTAATCATTGCAATTGGAGTATCAGTGTTTGTTTTTTTGGCAAAATACACTTGTATAGCCAAAACTTTCGTGTTTGTGCCAATAATAGTCAAATTTGGAGAAATAAAACTTATAGTCAGATTTTCTAGTTGTTGTATGACAAATGTAACCATTTCTGTTACTTAATCGTCAACTTTTTTGACGGTTCGTTGGCTAGACTCCCACTTAGCCCACACGTCAGTGCCAACTCATCCTCATGTGACACGTAGATGCCACGTCATAATTGACTTTTTTCCCCCTATTATACCCCACTTTGAGTTTGGCTGAGATGCTTCTTCTTCCCTTCCCCAATTTCATTCTAGGGTTCCGTCCTCCACTCCTTCAATTTCTTCTCCTCGAACAGCTTCCATCGTCCACCGCAATGTAGTCACAATCGCGATTTTGACTACATTGGTCCACCGCATTGACTGACTAAAAGGGAGGGGGAAGAGCAGGCTAGCGAGCCAGCTGTTTCTTTTAGCAAAACTTTCGTGTTTGTGCCAATAATAGTCAAATTTGGAGAAATACAACTTATAGTCAGATTTTCTAGTTGTTGTATGACAAATATAACCATTTCCGTTACTTAATTGTCAACTTTTTTTTTACGGTTCATTGGCTAGACTCCCACTTAGCCCACACGTCAGCGCCAACTCATCCTCATGTGACACGTAGATACCACGTCATAATTGACTTTTTCCCCCTATTATACCTCACTTTGAGTTTGGCTGAGATGCTTCTTCTTCCCTTCCCCAATTTCATTCTAGGGTTCTGTCCTCCTCGAACAGCTTCCATCGTCCACCGCAACGTAGTCACAATCGCGCTTTTGACTACATTGGTCCACCGCATTGGATCTCCACCTCCATCCTTCCATGGCAGATGGCAGTGGCGGAGCCAAGTTGAGGCCAGGGTGGGCTATACCCCCCCCCCCCCCCCCCCCAACTTTCATAAATAGGTAAATGTACATAAAAAATGTGTAACAAATTCTAAAAATAGACTAGTTGGTAAGCCACTAGCCCCCCTCACCACCAATGATCATGGTTCAAACCACCCAAGTGTATATCTTATAGCCCCCCTCGTTCAAGTTTCTGGCTCCGCAACTGGCAGATGGGTCTCAAATTTCGATCAGCTCTTAGGATTTCTCGCCAATGAAGGAGGCTCGTCAGTGAAACTTGAGTCACCGACCCTGGTGTTGTCGTCGCCGGCAAAGAAGGAGCCTGCGGTGGTACCCGAAGGGAAACTCGAAAGGGGAGTGCGGCAGAGGCCATGGGGAAAGTTTGCGGCAAAGATCCGTGACCCAGCAAAAATGGGGTTCAGGTTTGGTTGGGTACCTTCGTGCATCTTCACCCTTTTTCTCCTTCTTCATCTGCCATCGATCTATCCTCGTCCTCTCCTTCATCTCTCCGCCTCACACCACCCGCTCCATGGCGAAGGCAAAAGACGGTCATATCTAATTAGATTCAAAGCCGAACCTCGTCTTAATTTCCACTAGGCTTCTCCACCGTCGCCACTGCCGCAACATCCTCCCCGCTTCTGAGATGGGTGGCAAATCACCAACGAGAGCTGAGATACACCGCCGAAGTTGGAGTTTCGATGTCGCTGGTCCTTCCTCGTCGAATAAACTAAGATCTTGTCACGATTATAGTGTCTGATTTCGCTCTGATTTATTTGGTTGTGGAGTCGGCACGATTATTCAATTTGGGGGTGGGGAGGTAGAGATGAATAGGAGAGCTGGGTTGGGGGTTCTTCTTCGTCGATTGAAAGAGAAGCAATCGAAGGTGGATAGGATGTAACCGAAGGGAAGGGGATGCAACCCTATCGCAACCCGAATTGACTAAAAAACAACAACCCGTAACCCGTCCGACCCGCAACCCGATTGATCCGGAACCCAACTAAACCGCAGCCCGACTAACCCACAACATGATTAACCCGAACTTGATTGACTCGCAACCCGATTAACTCAAACCCGATTGACCAGAACACGACTAACCCGTAACCCGATCGACTCAACCCGAACTTCACTTAATCCACTTGAATAATTGTTATAATATACAATACATAGTTTTTCAAAATAAAGTTTTTCATTCTAAACTTAGGTAAAATTATTTTTTCATTATAGAAAATTTAAAAAATATGACACTCACTTGATATTATATATTTTAAGAAAATTACAAAAATTGAAACATGAAGGCCACTTGACCACCAAGTTCTTAATTACCGAAAAAATACTAAGTTCTTTAAAAAAATTTAAAAAGTAAATATAAAATCAACATAATGTCAATATTAATAATGAAGAATTAATAATTGAGATCATGGCCAATATTAATATAATATATAAAGTAAAATTTTGGTTGATTTAACTATTTAATAAAATTACCAATTAAATATAAATACAGTAAAGTAATGTATTTGGTAATTTGATGTTTTTAAAAGAAGAGGGAAATTTTGGTGTATTCAACTTTTTGGAAAGATAAAGAAGAGGGAAATTTGGTTCTTTGAATTTTTTTAGAAAAGAAACAAGAGGGAATTTTGGTGGTTTTGATTTGTGGGAAGAGAAAGAAGTGGGAAAATTTCTTTTGATTATGAAAGAGAAATAAGGAGGAAAATTTGGAGTTTTCAACTTTTTTGTGGAAGGAAGGAAGAGGGAAATTTGGTTCTTTCAATTTTATGGAAGAGAAAGAAGAGGAAAAATTGAGTGTTTCTAATTTATGGAAGGAGAAAGAAGTAGGGAAATTTTAGTATTTTTATTTTTGTGAAAAGAAAGTAAAAAAAATATTTGGTTTTTCAAAATTTTAGCCATTGGAATATGAATCTTTAATTTTTATATGGAGGGCATGACTAGTTAAATTTATTCTTTAGTAAAACTCGGCGGGCGTACAGCGTACGCCTGACGTACGCTAGGCTGAACCACATATATATATGTAATTGTTTATGGGCTAATAAATAAAGTAACCATTAGTTACAACAATTATACTAAACTTGATAAGTAATCTTTGACGGTTCGTTGTTTAGGGTATAAAGTATATGGTTAGGGTATATGGTATAAGATATTGATGGTGTTGACGGTTCTAAGTTTTTATTAACTTATGTTCACTTGAAGTCATTTGAAGTCTTTAACGACATGTGATCCCTTTTTCATTTATGTTTATGGTACGTGGTTAGGTACAAGGTATAAGGTGTAGACTATTGGATATATGGTTAGGGTATAGCAATTAGCAAATATCACTTTTTATCTATGTTTTGAAAATCAAAGTGTGAATTTCACTTTTAAATTAATTAAACTAGCAAAATCACAACTCGTAAGGACATATGGTTAGGGTATAGGTTATGTGGTTAGTGTATAATGTATTGATGGTTTAGGGTATACAATCAACAACATATACTAACTTAATATTGTCGATTGAGGGTAAGGCTACGTGTATAGGATATATGTTATTGAGTAAGTTATGATTGAAGTAACAATAATTTTACTAAATTTGATAGTTAATCTTTAATGGTTCAATTTTTAGGATAATTCGAACAATTTTACAAATAACTCGTTTGGCAACAGTTTACTGAAGTTATTTGGGCAATGAGTTATTTCGAAATAACTCCTTTTTATCACTCTGTTTTTGCCAAATACCAGATTTTCATGGTTATACTAATTAAACGAGATACTTTAATCCAATTACTACTGAAATAATACTAAAATATTAAATAAACAATTAATGGTGTCTTTTGGTTGCAAATGTTGATATCACCATTACTATTAGCTAGTGTATTAATTACATAACAAGTTGGAAAGTCATACAAATTGATTTAACATTTTGACTAGTTTTTTTTTCAAAAAAATTAAGTATATATATACGAGGTAGAAATAAATTGGTTGAAAAGTTGAGGAAAATATTTTAAATTAGTGTAATAAAATGTGTAAGTTGGTAACAAGTAATGAGTAAGTTACTCGATGCGCTGACCCGAACAACCCAAAACCCGATCTGCCCGCAACCCACCCGACCCAAAACCCAATGAACCCGCAACCTGATTTGCCCGCAAGCCGATTGAACCCGAACCCGATGAACCCACAACCCGACTAACCCGCAACCCGTTTGAACCCGAACCCGATAAACCCACAACCCGACTAACCCGCAACCCGTTTGAACCCGAACCCGATTGAACCCAGCCCGAACCCGCCCTATTGACACCTATAGATGAGAAAGATAAAAGGAGGGGTAGTTTGATCATAAATGATGAACTTTAAAGTCCATGATCAAATCCCACCTTAAGAGGTGATATTTGCAAGTCCGTAGGACCCACGAATTTGGATCAAAGTCCATGGGGCCCACAAATTTGTTGCCATAAAAAAAATGAAGCAAACAATAGACTTTGGACAAAGTCCATGATAAATTCAAATCCATCATCAAATCCATCACCAAATCCATCAAACAACTAAGACATTGTATAGTAAACTTGTTATGCCCTTATAGGACATGATTAATTGGTTATATTATATTAGAGAAGCCATCATGAGTCATATATCATAATAAATCAATCGCTTTTGTTATAATTTACATTATACGAACTAATTTAACTACTTCTGCCAATCAACATAATTTATATGAACTAATTTGACTATTTTAGAGTATGAAGTTATATTACCAATCTTTAATATATATATGATTGTTAAATTAATCATTAGTTTCAACAACCATTTGTTTAGAAAAGTTCACTTAATTTGTCTACTTATTTTCTATACTTCTACATTTATTGCAACTTCTACTTTACTTCATAATCTTTATTTTACACAATGACGAAAAGATTTGGCTCATTTAACTTGTGCTCGAGTTGCATTTTGGTTGCAAAATAATGGTTAAACTTGGTATATTGGGTTATACGATTGCGATAACTCAAGCATCTAAAAGAATATAAAATTAATTCAACTCTTTGACAAAAATTTTAACCTTTATAAGTACTCCTACCGTTTTTCATAAGTACAAATATAAATTCCTAAAAATTGCACAAAATGTTTGATTAGTGTAAGTTGCAATGAGTAAAAGAGTAAGTAACATAAATCTGACCAACATTCAACCTGGTCAGCTCTCAACCCGTCCAACACATAACTCGATCAACCCGTATCCCAATGAACTTGCAACCAGATGAACCCGAAACTCGATTGGCATGCAACCCAATGAACCCACAACTCAAACCCACCTTACTCGTAATTCGATTAACCCAAAACCCGACTAACCCGTAACCGGTTGAACCAATCCGAAGCTGTACGATTGACACCTAGATTGACACCTATACTGGATATGGAACATTACACCAAAAACTTACCAAATTCCCTCAATCACCATCTTCGGATACTGGCTCCGGAAATGTATGAATTATGATGCACTGTTGTGTCCAGCTAAGCCCGAGAAAAATTTCATTACATTTATGTAATATGTACAAAGATAAGTTTAGCGAATTTTAAGCAACGATGACCATGGCCGTGGGAAAAAATAAAAAGCCTATTCCTGCTTGAACTAAATCCAATTCCTGTTCTTCTAAGGAAATTTTGTTATCACTAAAAGAACCCCAATCACATGTTATCAAATAATCTTAACTGAAGAAGCAGCAACTCCAATCCGCAGATTCACCTTTTCACTTGCTTTAGAGAGCTGTAGCTGTGGGCTTGAAACAATCAATATTGCATAATCCAACAGAACGTATCATGGAACCGAAACTGCCATCATAGTATCAACCAACAGTTAGAAAAAGGCATGTCTTGTGGGAAAGAGAAGAATGTGAACTTGGGTCCCTTTCTTCTTCTTCCACACAGGTTTCGTAAATTAGAAGGGAAAAAAAATCATCAACTAGCTTACCGATCAATACTGTTCCTTGCTTTATCATGCTGATCCAGACTAAGGTTTTCCTTCTCAGGCCGATCCACACTTTTCCTTGACCTTTCCCTCCGGTCAATACTGACTCTTGATTTTTCTCTCCAATCCATGCTAGGCCTAGCCTTTTCTCGGAGCTCCGTGCTCAGCCTAACCTTCTCTCTTTGGTCGACGCTTGATCTAGAAGGTTCTCTCACATCTGTGCTCTTCCTAGGCTTCTGGGACAGTTCTATGGGTGCAATGGATCCAATCCTCACACCAGATTTTTCAATGGCTGATATGAACTTCTTGAGATGCTTGATGTACTGTGGATGCATCTCCAGATCACAATGGTTCCCTTCCTTCACCCATAATGGCTCGTACTTCTCTTGACAGAGTTCCCACAACTGTTTGCCGTGAGACCAGTCCACAACATCATCAGAAGTTCCCTGTAGGGCGTGACAAACAAATAAATAATCCATTTTACCTGTGCTTGAAAACAGAGACAATGAATCTAGCATTTTACCCAGTTAAACAAGAAATATAGGAGTTCCTACCGAAGACATAACTATTTACTGCACACATAGAGCATCAAACAAATTGGCGCTTGCAAATTCAGACGAAAATATCTCAAGGTTTCAGGTAATGATGGACCACACAATGTTAATCAGTCTGCCAAAGTACAAAGCCATGAATGCACTAAGCTAATAACATGCATAACACTGTATCCTTTCAGAAGCAGAATGTTTGGACTTGAATAATGTCCGTGTAAGCCCATTCTGAGATGCCTTGGTTTTGGCCAACAAGCTCATTTTTATCAGGATGAAAGGTAAATAATCTGACTTCTGAGCCTATAATTATCACAAAGTGGTATACTGTTCTTAGTAAGAAATGACAGATACAGAAATACAATGTGAACTAGAATGGACATGGCTTTTGGCTTTCAGTAGTTATTTAGTGTCTGTAACGGGCAATCATGTTGGGCTGAATTTATTAAAAAAGGAAAACAATGCAGTTTATGGAGAGGATAAACATGATTGAGGATTACTCTCAGGGCATCCCTTGTTTAATGTATGGATGAAATGACATTATCCGAAAACTTGAATCCAGCCACAGAAAGATGAAATGCAACAAAAACCACCAAATTTCAGCATGCCCTAGATTCCCACAAAAGCTTGAACCATTTCATCAGATTAGCAGAAGGAATAATGCTTAAAGCAAAACGGAAACCTGCAATATGCATCTGAGTTTACTAAGAAAGTTGGTATTTGTTGAAATACATGCTTGCTGCATCATCACCACCTAGACTACCAATAGGGTATTAGGATGGCAGTTCACAAAATTTACCATCCAATGAAAGCGAGAGAGAGAAAAAAAAAATAGCACTCATACTAGACTAAATAAAATTTGTGGAGGTCATTAACCATCCTCAACAGCAAAAACACTTACGTGAATCACAAGCACTGGACATGTTACAAATGGAATTTTGTCAACATTCTGAATCACAAAAGCAAAAAACTATTAGATAACTTGCAGGACAACAGAAAAATATTAGATAACTCGGAGGTACTGAAAATGAAAGTAAGAAAAACATAGTGATGTAAAAACCTTATATATGTCAAACCAATACGTCCTCTTGACAGGATACATCACACGGAGACCAGAAGCAATGGGGCTGTGGAGAACAACAGCCCTCAATCTTGGCAACTGAATCGCCAAATCTAGAGTAGGTCCACTACCGACTGATTGTCCATACAAAATGACATCTTCTTGTTTTGCCCCATATTTCTCTTCCAGGCACCTATACACAGCGTCTACATCAGCATACGTATTGTGCTCACTTGGCTGCCAAAAGGAAAGAAAACAACCAGCAAGTCGTCAGCTAAACAGTTGTTTTTAATGTGTGAGTGAGTTTCATTTCCCATTAATATTGATAACCTCTAGTATGCACGTGTTTAGCCCTTATGTCTTAGACATTTTTGCTTGTCTTAGCCTTAAGGAACACCCCTTTTGTCATGTTTTATGCTTGGTTTGTGTTTTTGGTGACGTTCTAGGTCGTATACTCATTGTGATGCCATTGGGTATCGATTTGGGGCTCAACCGTATGCATTCCAAAGCATAAGGAGAGAAGGATATCACCACCATGGTAACGACTAGAATAATGTCATGACCTGCGTATTGGAGATCAAGGGAAGGTCACAATCGTGACAATGGCCGTGACAAATGCATTATTTCACTTCTGAGACTAGTCACAGCCAAGGTCAATCTGTGACCTCTGGCCATGATGCCTCCTTTGCAGCGCATTTTGGCAAGTATCCTTGCCTCGGGCCATGACAGACACACAGGCTATGGCCTCAAGCAGTTACGGAACCCGGATTCAATATAGAAGTTCCTCTTTACCATTTGGAAGGGGAGTGAAGAGGAGTCGGCCTAGAGCGAGAAAAACACCTTGGAAGAACTAAGGAAAGAAGAACCGACCCAAGAGAAAAGGAGAAGAGTGCAAATTCAAGAGGACAAGATGATTGCAAGCTTGGGATTGTCTCTTCTAGTTTGTGTATCATTTCTCTCTCTACGAACTAGAACCTCTGAGTTGGTTGATCAGAAACAAAAATGAGTTTTCGTGGTGATTTTTTTTTTTTTTTGTTCCTTTTCCCCATCTTGAATATGTTTCCAAAATAAACCTGAATAGTGAATTTCCAAGGAATTCAGATGGCATTGTGACCACAACCATGCTACTACCTCTGCAATTGCAAAACAAATACCACCAGCAAGTACCCTTTACTTAATATTCAAACAAAAAAGTAACAATTAGCGAAGATGAATGGAGGCTCAGAAGACATGGATACAGAAGCAAATCAGACATCAGCTGTTTGATACGATTCTTTACTCCTTGCCCATCTAAACCGCTTGGAGACTTAGTACTGGCTTCTACAAGCAATGAGCTCTACATTTACTTCATTCTCCTCTCTGATTTGAACTATTCTTTGCTCTCTACTGGCTACGGTTAATGTTATTCCGTAGTGCTTCAGATCCTAAGGCATCCATGATTTACGTATTCTTTAATTACATCTAACTATTTAAGGAACCAAACCTTTCTACATAAGGAAACTTCTTAAGCATAATACCAGTTCTAATTCTATAATAAGGTCGTGAAGTGGAGAAGTAAGAATGGAAACCAGTCAAAGTAGAAGACGACGTGATCAAAGCAAATCATGTACCTTTCCCGTCGACTGCCCATATCCGCTGTAATCATACCTGCACAACACGCGCACAATCCATCCAATTTCATCTTTGAAAATAACACACAAATCTAGATGCAAATCGGAGAGAAGAGAAGAAATCCAATTGTTATGAGTAAATTTACTGAGGAACTGACCCCATCAAATTGACTCGGAGATGCAAACTCAGCTCACTAAACAGATCGTACATCTGCCCCAGATCGGCAGCATTACCGTGAGAGTAGAGAAGTGTGAGGGAAGCGGCGGGGTTCCTAAAATACACCGCCACTACCTGATTCCCTCTCTTCGTGTCCAACTTCCATACGTCAACATTTTCCTTGACGCCGATCCCCTGCCCCACCATTTTAACCTTCCCACTCGCCTTGTCTACCTCCACCTGATACGATGGCGGAGTCGGCGGGAAGAAAGCGAACTTCGCCGCCATCGTCGACGTCACCGTCCCCATTTCTCCCCACCACGGCCAGACACTACCTGCTTCCCACCTGTTAGCTACAGAGACAGACAACTGAAACTGCACAGATCCAAGTCCAATTCGACCGCGGAGAACAAAGAAAGAGTTGGTCCTAGGCGAAAAGACCGAGGGCAAACTGTAGCAGGCTAGCAGCTATGACGAAAGCGAAGGTGATCGAGACTGCAAGGGTATAAGAATTATTAAAAAAAAAAAGATTGGAAGGGTAGATAGAGAAACGTTTCCCAGTAATTTTATGTGGATTGAAGATTTCTAGGGTTTGAAGATTTGACGGAGCAAGCGGAGTAGGACGGAGGTGAAGAGGTGGCGGAGGATGAGGATGAGTGAGAGGAAATTCAGAGTAGCTCTCTAATTTCTTGTTTATCAATGCATCTTACAAAATTCCGGTGGGTTATTCATTTGGTAAATTCCAATTCTGGTCACTTAGTTTATTACAAGTTTGACGTTTGATCACAAAAAATATTTTATTTCATTCGTGTTCACCAAGATTAATTTAATATTACACTTTTGATTACTGACCATCCAACTTAGTTAATTTTATCCGATGTAACAGTCAATTATCATAGTTGATCATTATATGAGTTACGCGAAAATTAAAAATAATTAGCAATAAAATTTAATTTTTTACAATGTCCACCTTTTTTTTATAATTAAATCAAAATGCCATTAAGAACAGGAAAACCTTTAGCAAATCGCTAAGGCTCCTCTCGGCACAAACTGTCTGTATATAATACTTCCATCACAAGGAAGAAGAAACACAATTCAACTACCCCAACCCCCTCGACTCTAAACAGCTGAATAAAGTCGGGTCTAATTGGCACCTAAAACTAAGAATCCTTTTCGCCTCATCACAAAGCTGAATCGGATTCCTGGCATCCCTGTCTCCATACATTCTGGAGCAACGTTCCCGCCATACAAGGCTTAACACAACACACCATATCATCCTATTCAAACTCACTGCATCACCTTTACCCTGCCATTTAGACACACACCAATCCAGGACAAATTGCCAATCAACTAACTCTGAAGGAGGACCTGCACACTTCAAAAGAGAGGACAACATATATCTGACAAAAGAACAATTCACAAACAGGTGGGATCGTGATTCAAAGCCCCCTGGACAAAGGAAACAGAAACCCGAGAGCTGTTTCCCCCACTCAATCAACATTTCCTGCGTTTTCAACCTATCATGTATGATAAGCCATAGTATGAAACCATGTCGAGGCACAATATCCTTCCCCCAGACAAACTCAACCCATGGAACACGAGCCCCACGCTGTCTTACCGAGTTCCAGACCTTACTAACCGAGTAAACCTTCATTACCTCACCATCCCATGTCAGAACATCCCCAATCTGCATAATAAATGGTCTGGCCATTTCGCGACACTTCAAAATTCGCCTCCAAATCCAAGAACCAACAGCTGACTCTTTAATGTCCCAAATAAAGGATTGTTTAACCTTAATACAATGTCCACCTTTTCATAACATTAAATTAGAATAGTTAAAACAAGAAAAAAAAATTAGACTTATCAAAATTAAAATTTAATCATTCCCTCAACTCAATCTAGAAGCATATTCCATATCATTCACCCTCAAGACCTAAGCAAACACTACAAAAAAATAAGACTTTATAGACTTATATTTGCTATACATAATATATCTGCTTCTAAAAATAACATATATATGACTGATATATCATTTGTCTCTGTAAATATTATTATTTGCCTCTAAAATTCCATACACAACTAATATATCATGAGCCTCTACATATTATTATTATCTACCTCTGAAATCTTTACTATTTTAAAGTAAATTTTAAATAGGTATTTTGGATATTATTTTTTTGGTACATATTTTATACCTGTCGTCATTGTTTAGCCTTATTATTTTATATAAAAATAAATTTAATTGTTCATAAATTTATTATAAGCTATCGAGACAGATAAAATTATTCACGGCTAAATTAATTCTAGAAAATACATAAAGGCAAAATATGGGTTGGAATTCTCCCATTTAAAATTTCGTAGCCTGAGAACGATTCTAGGAATGTCACTTTTGTCATTGCACCCAGTTCATGTTTATATATTAAAAATGTTATCATTAGAGTTCGAACCTGGGTCAATTAAATGAAGAAAGAGCATTATAACCAACTAGACTACATTTTAGTTATTGTTATTTCTCTGATTAAACTCTAGGAATAAGTTTGGTGATAATACTTCTATATTTATATTTTATCTTAAGTTATATATATTTTATAGAAAGATATTAGTTTTGAAATCGGAACTCAAGTAGTATTGATTCAAGCATTAATATTAAATTGTATGTGTTGTTTAGTTTAGACAAAATACTGAAGTGTAACCAAAACATGGACCTTTGTGACGAGTATAATCATTTTTTGTGACAAATCTACAATAATATAATGATAAAATTGGAAAATGAGAGTCTCATTTCAAATTTCGTGGCCTGTGAGTGATTATAGGCAGCTCTTTTTTGTCATAGTGCTTAATTTATCTTTATATTATGTGTATGTTTGTGACAAAAAAAATTACTATATTTCTCACAAAGATCAATATTTTGGTTACACATATGTATTTTGTCTAAACTAAAATTTATTGTTTGGATCAATGTTACTTGAGTTCCGATTTCATAATTAATCACTTTTTATAAGATGTAATAATTTCAATTAAAATGTCTTTCCTACTTGGTTGAAGAAGCTCTTGCTATAAGATATATTCAATGTTTTAAGATTTTCTATTTCAAAGTTCGTGAAGCGAGAATGAAAGTTGGAATATTTTTGTCATCACAATTATTCTCTACTTCATATGAAAAGGTATCAATAGTTTTATCTTCTTAAATTGTAAACATGCACTAAGCAAAAATTTGAAAAGCAGAGGACTTTTCATAGTTAGCTAGCCTATTAAATCTTCTGAAAAGCAAAGTTTAATACGCGTATAATTTTTATAACCTATAAAATGACGGGTAATCATAAAATTGCAAACACAAATTTCATTGCATGAAATATTGCATATCAAACTGCAGTATTGAATATGCAAAAGCGATGTAGAAAGCTTTAAGTTAATATAAATTTTCAGAACTAATACGAATCAACAATATTTTGTACAAACTATAGGTGACTGGTTCTCTAAAATTTTAGTCTGGTTAACTGCTAAACGTTGAACTCTTGAGTCTTGAATCTTGATAATCGTACATGAATGGACCCGACAATAATGAGATGAAATCGAGTTTAATGTGATGTTCATTTCGTCAGTTTTGGATCGAATGTGTTGATCAATTTATAGGGCATTAACATAAAAATGATTATAATTAACCTCATTATGCAATTTTTACTCTTTATAATAATTAAATTAATCTTAATCTTTGTGATGTTTGAAATATTTTATGTATGATTTAGAGGTATAATTATCATTTGTGTCATCAGTTGTATTTTATTCAAATGTAGTATTTCATTAGGTAGTCAAAATAAAATATTGGGTGCATTTATGACTGTTTTTATCTTGGTGTTGTGAATAGGTAGAAAGTTAATTATTATAATGCATATAACTATACCTAGGCACATGGTCGAGCTAGCACGATACAGTTAGAGCATACGATGAAGACAATGTATATGGATTGACCATGTACAAGAATGAATACTTCATGGGTCGTACCAAACTTAAACTTCAAAGCTCCATGGGCGAGCACCACACACTATATTGGTGGACTCATGTTTTATCAGTGCTGTCAAAGCCGAGCCGAGAAAACCGCCACCCCGCCATAAAACCGGCTCGACTCAGCTATTTAGCCGGAGTGGTTAATTGGGGCGGTCGGCGAGCGACCGAAGCGGTTAACCGCTCGAACCGCTCGAGCCGCTCGGCCGGCTTTTACCATTTGGGCCGGTTGCTTTAATAAAAAAAAAACAAAAACAAAAATCGAAAATGAAAATGAAAGGGGCTGAATGAAAACGTAACCCTAATTCAATTCATTTCTTCCCCCTTCCTTCGCGCAGCCAGACACGAAGACGGAAGAACGAAGAAGCCTCGCCCTCCGCAGTCACCGTTCACTGTCGCCGTTCCCCGTCGTCGTTTGCCATCGCTCGACGCCGTCGCCGTTCGCCATCGCTCGACGCCGTCGCCGTTCGCCATCCCTCGACGCCACTCCCCTGTCGCCTGTCGCCATCGTCGGCGGCGGCGGCGGCAGCTCGTTCCCCTCTCCCCTGCATCGACTCTCTGCCTTTCGACCCTGCTGTATCAACTCTCTGCCTCTCCCCTGTTGCATCGACACTCTGCCTCTCCCCTGTTGAATCGAGCCTCTCCCTTGCTGCCCTCCCCTGTTGCATCGAGCCTCTCCCTTGTTGCCCTCCCCTGTTGCATTGAGCTGCCCTCCCCTGTTGCATCGAGCCTTAGGTCACCCAATTCGTGGGTCGGCCCTCGCCGCTCCCGAATTAGAGCGTGAAAACGCGAAATCGATCGACGGTCGCCAGCGCATTTGTTTCTTCTTCCTCCGATTGAATCGGTAGTCTTCGATGCAGACCATTCTCCTTCCACCTACGAATTAGTGTTTCCAATGTCTTGTGTGTCAATCACTGATCTATGAGAAGATAATGATTCAATCACTGGTTGCATGCGCGAAATCGATCGCCGAAAAATGAAGAGAAAAACAGAGTTATGTGTCACAGAAGAGGGAGAGAGAGTGGAGGAAGAGGGAGAAGAAGTTTTGTGGTGGGTAACTCAGCGGTGGGTGAATCTGTAAAAGATAAGGGAAGTTTTTTTAATGGTTAAAATAAGGGAAGTTTTAATAGGAAAAAATGAAATAATAATTTTTTCCATATACAATCATTTTAGATATTCATCATCAGAGATAAATAATTAGTGAAATTAAACATAAAAAACTCATCTTATATGCATCGTCATTTTCTATATTAGGTACCGGTTCTCAAACGGTTTTTAAACGGTCTAATACCGGCTGGACCACTAATGACCGAGCCGTTCACGTTACCGGGTCATACTCCGGCTCGGCTTTGACAGCATTGTGTTTTATGGAAAATGCATCATTTAATAAAATGAAAACAAAATAATCGAAGAATAACATATAAAATTTGAAATAATGAGTAGTTTCTCATACCAACGTGTGACGGCTCATATTCTAAAAGTTTTATAAAATACATTCCTTGTTTATTTTGAGACTAAAACCTTTTTCAATGTATACAACTAAAAGTTCATTTATAAAATCATTCTTATTAACTTTATAGCTGAAAATCTTTTTTATAGCTTGCAGTAATAACAAACAATGTCGACAATAACTTTAGAAGCAAGTAAAGTGAAGAAGAAATTGGTATTTAGTATTTCTTTGCAAATGAGTGTGGGGGGGGGGGGGGATTTTTTTTTTCTAAAAAATTTGAGGAGGAAGGGTTGAAACTCATATATAATTTGTTTTAATATTGAATATTGCATATTGAATTGGAGTATTGAACATTTTGGAAGCGATATATAATTCTTAAATAAGTATTAATTTTCAGCCCGGTTAACCAATTGCCTTAGACGTTTTGCTAATCTGGCATGGAACCAATAATCATAAGATAAGATTTAGTTTGATATGGCGTCGGTTCAAAACCATTTTTTATGTGTAATGAATTTGTACGACAAATACATGTAAAGTGAAGATGAATTTGATTATGCATTTTGATTCTTTAGATAAATACAATGGTTTAAGGCTTTAAGCGATGAACTAACTATACACTCACTCGATTGGTTTAACGAGTTCTGCTTTTTATCACTTTTAATAATTCGTCTATTCACAGGCTATCATGCTACTTTGCTCCGTCGATGAATAATCCACCATCTGTTCACCATGTTTCAGGTGCTCTAATTCACACTATCGACCGTGAATGGAGAAGAAGCATTTTGAACGCAAAATTGAAGAAATAATTGAGATGTTTCTAGGTTTCTCTCGATTCCAGGCGGTGGGAAGAAAGGGGAAGAAAAAAGAGGACAGTGGTGAGATACAAAGCTGAGAGAGAGAGAGAGAGAGAGAGAGAGAGACGGAAGAACAAATGGAAAAACAAAGAGGAGGCAAAGAGAGAGTGAAATGACACATTTAAAAGAAGAGGAAAATGAGTTAGTGTGAAATAATTGCGCTTGTGCTTTGATTAGTGGATATTCTTGGCCCTAGTTGAGTTTTGATTTATTTTAGGAGATGACATTATATTTGACATATTTTTTTCATTTCAATTTAAAATCCTAAATCAATATTATCATTTGAAAGATTTTTTTCCTTAACCGTAATTTCTGAGATTTAAGGGGTATTTGATAATGTCAATATTTTAGTGGTTTTTTATTTAAAGTTGGTATTGAAAGATCTTACGTACCAACAATTAGACCATAAACTTAACATCACAGGCTAAATCGATAGGTGATATTTAACAATATGAAACGGTTGAACCACAGTTAAATAATGACTTTAATATAAAATACTTTATTAGCAACTTTTTTGATATTATTTTACAATCCTTTGGTTCAAATAATTCTTTTACACAGGTGAAAACAAAAGTTTTAAGGCACATTTTGAATTATCTATTGCAAAAAAGCATAAGTCAGTTAGCGATAATGAGAATATGCGATCTCATGCAACGTACCCAAAAGACACTTTGCAACTTCTATCTTTCTAAAATAAATGTATGCTACTCATACCCTCGCTCATTCATCAACTTAATGAGTAACATATATTTCATGTAATATTATTTTCATACGTTTTTATTTATTGAATTATTTCATGAAAAAAATATTTGTTGCATGAAAATTACTAAATTGTTGCTAGACATGTCTGCGATCTGAGAATAATTTGGGAAGTCCGTACACAACACATTGTCCAACTAACTATTAACGACAACTTAGCATCATGTCCTATATATTCAAATCAAGCAACTTCGGATTCATTACCAACAGTGTGGTAAAAAAGAATGCTCTCTATTGGGAAAAACTGAAATGACATACCAAACTCTATGAGACATTTTCTTTCACCCTAAATGTTGATTATTTATGTATTATGAGAAGCAACTCTAATATTCAACTATATGGTTTAATTAAGTAACGAATGACAATTAGTTATATTTATTTTTCATTCAATAATTATATGTAATGCCTATATTGTATTGTTTTCTCTTTCCATGGAGGTCTAAACACATTATGCATAGTTGCATCACTTTCAAAAATGTTATGTGCATATAGAAAACAATCATTTCATGCATTTCAAATTATATATTATATCCATTATTATATACAATTCTTCCGGCCAACGGGTCGGGCCCTGTGCCAGTACTGTTGAAACAACTAAATTCAAAATAATAAACTCTGATATCTTTATTTTGTGTTTACTTATATTAAAGCATATCCTTCTATCATGTCTTTCCCCTAAAATAAATTATTAATGTGTTAAATAATATGAAACAACAAAAAAATTGCCCAAACAATAGCTTAGAGGGTGTCGTGGCGTTCGGAGCAAATCAAGTAGTAATATATCAAATTGTTTATATTTCTCCTTTTGAAATATAAGAATAAGAATCTTTATCCTAGAATTAGCGTTACATGAATTCCGTCCGTCCTCTCCTTCTCCGTCGGTGCAAGATTTTCTTCTTCAACAAGTCGCCACCGTCTGCCCTTCCCACAATGGTTTCCTGTGGCCATCTCAGTTATAATGATATCCATTGTAGGTCACTTTTTCCTAGTCTCTATCATTATCGCCAAGCAGCTTCAAATGATCTCGCTGTTACAAACTCAAAGGTAGATAGATAAAATAGTTTGATTCTAAGATCGTTCTTTTTGCTTCTTCTAGATTTTTGTTCTATTAATTCTCTACTAAGATTGAATGCTTCATTGATTTTTGGAAGCAATAAGTGGAGAGAGACTTGGCTTTACCAAGACCAAGAGGATAGAAGATCATATCAGAGAAGCAAAATTTTGGCGACTCTTCCTCTCCACGGTGGATATAGACCAACGACGGCACCACTTCTAATTGTAGAAGAAAACAAAGGGCTACAAATCACCTATACATATTGCCACGAATATTCTGATAAATGACACAAAAGGAAATAATAATTGAAACAAAATGAGATAATTAAACGAATTAACTTATTAATTACTTTAAATTAAATTTATTTATCACATAAACATACTATTACTAGCCAACATATTTGTCACTAATAGTGCCATTAGTGGCACATATGATGCCCCTAGAAGGAGAAAATAAGACGGAAGATAATCCTACAAGTCGAAATTAGCGACTTATATATTTGTTGTAAATTCCTCAATTAGCAGCAAATTTTATTTGCCACAATAACTTTACTATTTGTCTCTAAGGAGAATTAGCAACAATAATATAAGTGTCACATCTTTGTGTGCCTCTAATAAGATATAGAGGCACATAAATGACTTATAATGACATATACACTCTGCCACAAATACGAGTTTTTCTTGTAGTGAAGCATCGGCAGAGCTACTACCCAACGTTGCTTCCTCCGGTTCTCCCTTATCCCGTTCTGAATTTGTCTATTGGGGAAAGTACAAGATTCTGCGAGAAATTCCCTCGGTGAAAACCTAAGTCTGATGTCGCTGAGCTATGGAGCGAGATTTCATGGGGTTGGGGATCGCTTTCGTGCTCCCAGAAGAACTGGTCTTCCATTTCCTTGCAGTGCCTCGGAGCCAGCAATTCCTCCTCTCCCCCCACCCTCTTTCTTTTCTCCGTCGAACTCATCGCCACCGGCTGAGGAGAACTCGCTAAATGACCTGATCATGTCATGAGATGGACCTAGTGACAGTAGAGGATCTGCACGGCCTGTTGGTGATCTCCAGATGGAGAGATTTCTTGTGTGCATTTGGGTTGTGATGTGTGGCGGCTTCCAGAGATCTGTTAGAGTAATATGGAGATGTTGCCAGGTCCGAGTCTTCCATTGAGTGATGATTTGACTACCTTCCATCGCCGGCATTGAAACCACCTTCACTAAGGTCTTTGTCTCCGAAGAGATCTCATCTCGTGAGGTCGTCGCCATCATCATTACAGACACAAAGCTCGGGTCGAATTCGGAATAGGGGAATCAGGAAAAAAGTTGACAAGTAAAGGAGGAAGAAGAAGGAGACACTTGGGTTAGGTTGAGTTCGGATTAGGGAAATTTCGTGGGTTAGTAGAAGAAAGAAGGATTGGAGAAGAGAGAGGTATCATGTGATATTCCATTTTTTACAACCTCAGATAGATTTTGGTGTCTAGGAAATAAAGTTGTTTCCATTTTTTTTTAATATAGTTGTAAAAATGAATTGAAAGTTTTAAAAATTAATTTTATTTATTTTTTAATTGTCACATCACTCATATTGTCAACTATGAGGATTGACTGTCATTTAAGATAAAAGTTAACGGAAATGAACGATCAGTGACCAAACCTAGAATATTAAACTAATTTTAGTGACCAAAAATTGAATAAAATATATTAGTGATAAAACGTGAAACTTTTTAGTAAACCGAGTGACAAAACTTGCAATTTACCCGTTATTGATTATACATGATATCTTATGGATCTATTTCTTTCATTTTAAGTTTGAATTAAAAAAAAATCACAGTAAAATCATATTAATTGTACCCTTTAAAATAATATCATTTTAATATATTTTGGAAAAAAGTGAAGGCATTTATTAATAGTTTATAGCATGATGGTAATGTTGAATTGTACATAAGAATATATTATAGTGGTATGACACTGTATCATGGTGATATGAATATATTTTGATATAGAATAGTTCTATACATGATATTAGAAATACACTAACCACCTCATCATTGTCTACCGTTATATACCACCATATAGGAGGATGATATATTTGGTCTTGGAATTTTTCTCCAAGAAATTTGTAGATCACACTAGATCTCAATGAATTGTTCCTTTTATGCACATTTTTCAAAATTTGAGATAAAAACGAATATATCAATGGGTGGTATGAATTCTTCTCTAAATATATCAAAAATGAATATCATTTTGTAGATCACAATGAACTCATTCCATCTATGAAAAAATAGGGTTAAACAAAGAAGATACAAGCCAATTAAAAAAGGATGGAAAATAAAAGTCTCTCAATCTCATCTTTTAGCTCTAACTTCACTCAAAATCAAGGATGCATATTTGATTATGCAAAAATACATAATCAAAGGTTATTCACCCTACCCAAGGCCCAAAATTGAAAAAAAATAATCTAAAATGTCTTCTTTCTATTTTTTCAATCAAAAGGAAATATGGAAATCTGTGTTATAAACCATGAGAAGAGTAGGTTTCACACATACTGACAGAAGCCTTACAATTTTTACTAATATCAAGCAATAAGTCATGAAGTTGATTCGTTTTGATGATTAATATATGGAGATAAATAGTGCTCATTGTAGCATCCTCATGACAACATCTATGTGAAATATTATGATCAAGGGGAAAAGAATGTGCATATGCCCCCTCATGACAACATCAATTCAAATATTTGACTCGTTTTAACGCTTAAACTTTTTATTCCCCATTCGTTAGGCATTTGTAAAATCGTCGTACTTGGGTCATATTGTCATCTACTTCATGCCAATATGAGTTAATAATTGTAAACCATGAGCTTTAGCATAAGTTAGGTTGGTTTGAGTGATTCTAATAAGGAAACAACCTGAATTTGTCATGTTTTACATTTGTTTGGTGCTTTTTCGGAAAAAATCCAAAAGTACCACTATTTAAAAAAAAATTCCAAAAATACCACTCAATCCCAAAAAATTCCAAAAATACCACCCTTTTTCAAAAACCGCCACCCCGCCCTGCGGTTTACACGAAAACCGTTTGTCGGGGGCGCGGTTTTCTATGCAAACCGCGGGTCTAGGGGGCGGTTATAAAAAAAAAAAATTGGACCAAACCGCTGGGTGGGGTGGCGGTTTGACCCAAAACCCCGCTGGGTGGGGTGGCGGTTTGACCCAAAACCGCCACCCCACCCAGCGGTTTGGTCCAAATTTTTTTTTTTTCGATCAACTCCTAACTTCGGCCGAACCTTCAAACAAACGTAACTTTACACTCGGGTATCTGATCGATGCGATTTTTTTTTCATTTCGCATAACTTTTCAAGATCTACAACTTTTAGTAGGATGAAATTTTCAAAACAGGAACTATTTGTGGATATACGGGACCTTGAGAATAACTTTACCTTTACTTTTCACAAATCCATGTACATTTTGAAATTATGATTATATTAAAAGTTGTAGATCTTGAAAAGTTATGTGGAATAAAAAAAAATTCATGACATTCGGATTTTGGAGCACAAAGTTATGGCCGCCCAAAGTTTGACGAAATAAAAAAAAAGGCTCGTTCGGGGTGGCAACTGACGTTTTTTCGAGACGAAGGCGGGACCCTGCGGTTTGCGGCTTGAAAGATCTCAAAAAGTTATTCGGATTCAAAAAATGGAGGCCGCAAACTTTTTGAGATCTTGCAAGCCGCATACCGCCGGGTCTCGCATTTCGTCAAACTTTGGGCGGTCATAACTTTATGCTCCAAAATCCGAATGTTATGAATTTTTTTTTTATTCCGCATAACTTTTCAAGATCTACAACTTTTAATATAATAATAATTTCAAAATGTACATGGATTTGTGAAATGTAAAGGTAGAGTTATTCTCAAGGTCCCGTATATCCACAAATAGTTCCTGTTTTGAAAATTCCATCCTACTAAAAGTTGTAGATCTTGAAAGGTTATGCAAAATGAAAAAAAAATCGCATCGATCGGATACCCGAGTGCAAAGTTACATTCGTTTGAAGTTTCGGCCGAAGTTAGAAGTTGATAAAAAAAAAATTTGGACCAAACTGCTGGGTGGGGTGGCGGTTTTGGGTCAAACCGCCACCCCACCCAGCGGTTTGGTCCAAATTTTTTTTTATAACCGCCCCCTAGGCCCACGGTTTGCATAGAAAACTGCGCCCCCCGACAAACGGTTTTCGTGTAAACCGCGGGGTGGGGTGGCGGTTTTTGAAAAAGGGTGGTATTTTTGGATTTTTTTGGGATTGGGTGGTATTTTTAGAATTTTTTTTTTAAACAGTGGTACTTTTGAATTTTTTTCCTGCTTTTTCATGATGGTCCATGGCTTATAGTCATCATAATTTAATTGGAGTTCGATTTGGAGTTCATCTAGGCACTTTTGCAATATAGGAGTACATAAATGAGGTTTCTGGCCAAGTAATAGTTACGTTGACCAATCGAGGAAACTATCCTTTTTCATAAGGACTCAAGATATCAGGAAAACCAACGACTTGCCTCAAACAGTGCCATATGTTAGCAACGACTACTTCAAGGAATAAAAGATTTATGTTTCAGCATCTTCCGTGGACCTATAAATAGTATCAACTTGTGTCTTTGTAAGGTTGCAGATTGTAAGTCTGGGGTTGGTGGAATTAGTTTTTCTCAAATTGCAAAGGTCTTGATAAGCTGAGGGAAAGAGGTTCTTAGTTTGTTCGTGGGAAAGCATATCAGATTGTGATATGGTAGAAAGGGTTTTGTGTTCTCTGTAATTGTCTTTCTCTTTTCTTTCATTTCTTGATAGGGAAAAATAAATAAAATAGAGTCTCCCGGAAAATAGCGAGTGTTATCTCCGGGATGAAAACTGACCCGTAGACAGGGGAACCTCGTTAAAATTATTGTGTTGGTGTGCCTGGTTACTTTGCCTATCTTACTCTGTTTTGTCTCTACGTTCTTTACTTTGTCTCGTGTTTCCTTTGTCTATATCAAGGAGGAAGACGATTGTCTCTTCTGAAGGCATGGTCCTTGGGCTTCTCACTTAAATCCCAAGCCAATTTATTCTCCTTTGAGCTGGCCCTTTGCGATGAGTCCTTTCTCGTTTTATTGGTTTTAGTTTGAAGTCAAACTTCAGTTTGTCTTCCTATTAATTGTCAAAACCCCTAGTTGTCTCAAAATTGACACATAGCCTAAAAATCTTAAAGGCACGGTCACGGCCCGTGACAATGGCTATGAATCTCTTCATATTCGGACGCAAAGAAAAAAAAGAGTAGTAGAATCTCTTCCTCATAGTTACAATCATATCCTAGAAGGGTTATTCGAGAGAAAGATCATAGCCTCGAGTTGAGGTTCACGGTTGGGATCTTAGAGCATGTGAAGTTTGGCAAAATAAAAGACTGGCGACTTTTTGCACATTAAGGGCACGATCAAGGTCATTGTCATTATGTGGTCGTGATTGCCTTTTGTGCAGCATTTCACGATAACTACATCCTTCAAGACTTGACCAACCCTCTTGTCACACTAAGTGGTCGTGACGTGCCCCATATTTCACTATAAAATCCCCTTTTTCAGCACTTGACGAAGGATAGGCGACCTAGAGCGAGAAATTAGAATTTTGGATAGTTTTTAGTGAGAGAAAAAACTTGAAAGAGCTAAGGAAGAATCCATCCAATAACCAAAAAGAAGGGTGCAATCCGAAGAGAAGAAGATGATTTTAAGCTTGTCTTCTCTTTATAGTTTGTATCTTATTTTTCTCTCTATGAAGTCAACTCCTATAATTGCCTAAGGGAGATGAATTCTAGTATATAGTTGGGTTTTGTGGATTGAATGTGAACTTATCCTTGATGACATGTCCATCTATGTGTAGTATGGTTAGTTTTGCTATCCTTTTGCCTTGATCAAGTAATTGGATTGTATGTGTTTTTACCTAGTAGACATGATCATTGAACTGGGGAGAGATAGAGCACCCATTGATATTATGAGGTTGCAATTTCATTGAGTTGTGACATCATTTGCAAAGGGATTAATCCCATTAGAGAGTCATAACCTAATGCTCTAGATACCTAGTTAATTTCATGATCATTGAGCTAACTTAGTTTTCTAGAAGATTGGTTGTGAGACATAACCATTGCAGCAATCACTAGTGCCAAAGGTTTCTTGGTTAGGTAATTTGTGGTAAGGCTTATATGAATCACTTAATCGTCCTACTGTATTATCCAAAACTTTTTCCGATGAAGATATAATTCACTTTGGGTCTAGACCCTCAAGGTTTTGGACTTGAGGTGCATATCA